TGCTGACAGATCTGTTAGGCAGATCCCATATTTTGACATCTGATTTGTCTTCTGTCTCACCTATTCATAAAGACATACCTTGCTGTGTTTAACCTAATATCATGCCAAGACAGGCATTTTGACCAAGATGTCAGGATGCATGTCTGTCAGAAGTTGTGCAAGAGGTCGAAACGCTGCAGTAATTTCCCCTTGGTGGGAGACTGTGGTACTTCATCAAGACATTTGACTTCAAAATCCATCTCTGTCTCTCACCCCTCTTTGACACTTATTTGGTCGCCTGCGGCAGATGCAGTGGGGTAAACATATAGGTCTGCCAAGAAGGTAGAAAACAGACAAAAAAGTGGATGGGAAAGATAAAAAGAGACAGAGGGAAGACAGGCGTGAGTGCTTTACACTTCATTTGATACCAGTCTTAACCTGTATCCCCTGAGAGAGAGAAAGAGAGAGCAACAGAGCCAGAGTCAGGCTGCAGGAGCAGCAGGTGGGTTGTTTTAAAGACCAAAGATCCTGTTTTCAGAACCAGCTCAGGTGCATATCCCAGTGAAAAACATGACTCACGATGAAAGAGCTGAAAGATGAGAGATTGAAAAACAAGCTAAAACGGCATGTTTTTATGTCACATCCGCTTTTGTTCATACTATTGGGTAGGTTCAGGTGTAGTGCAGATGGTACGTTATTTTAAAACGTCACAGAGCATTAAAGTTACAGCGCCACTCAATAGACATTTCAAGGCAGAACTGTGGTGACACGTACAAAACCACCGTCAGATAAAACAGACCATATGTACATTTATCTGTTCCGGAGGGAGGGGGAGCAACACTCTTTTAGCACCACTCAGTGGACATGTGTCACGAAACGCACATGGCGCTACGTATTTTGCCTCTTGCAGAAAAGTTCCCACAGGTACGTTTTCATCATGAGATCAGGCTCGTTAATACGCCTTCAGAGGTCACAGCCAAAATTTTGTTCTGCAGGTATTATCTGGTGTTTTATGTTGCGTTTTTGCAGAATTCTGCTTGCAAAATTTTGTCTCATTTAGTAAAATCTAAAAATTCTACAACTCTTAAGTTGTAAAGCGAAACTACTTTGTTTGGCCTTCCAAAAGAGGACGATGGGAAGACAGGCGTGAGTGCTTTACACTTCATTTGATACCAGTCTTAACCTGTATCCCCTGAGAGAGAGAAAGAGAGAGCAACAGAGCCAGAGTCAGGCTGCAGGAGCAGCAGGTGGGTTGTTTTAAAGACCAAAGATCCTGTTTTCAGAACCAGCTCAGGTGCATATCCCAAACACTATAGGCCCATGTTGACACGTGTGATAAGTGACACACACTGAAAGATGTTTTTGTTTTTTTTATTAATTAAATTATCGCATAGCTGTCTCTTGAAATTACTTATACAGTATATATACAATATCATTTAAAAGTTTGGAGTTGGTAAGTTATTTTTTCTCAAGACG